TTTATATTATTCTCTTTTGTTATTGCACTGGCTAAGAGTTCCAGCACTATATTGAAAAGAAGTGGAGAAAGTGGGCAGCCTTGTCCAGTACCAGTTTTTAATGGAAAAGCTTTCAGCTCTCCCCCATTTAGTATAACGTTAGCTATAAGGTTTTCATATACAGTTTTTACTGTATTGACAAATGATCCTTCTATGCTGATTTTGCTAAGAGCCTTAATCATGAAGGGTTATTATATTTTGTCTAATGCTTTTTCTGCATCAATTGTAATGATCATATGATTTTTACCATTCTTTCTGTTAATATGGTGTATTACATTTATGGTTTTGCATATGTTGAGGTACACTTGCATCCTTGGAATAAAGCCTACCTGGTCATGATGAATAATCTTTTTCATATGTTGTTGGATATGATTTGTAAGTATCTTGTTGAGAAATTTTGCATCTATATTCATCAGAGATATTGGTCTGTAGTTTTCCTTTTTTGTCATGTCTTTTATCTGTTTTGGGGATGAGGATGATGATTTTATGATTCATAAAATGAGTTTGGGAGGATTCTTTTGGATCTTTAGAAATAGTTTGAGTAGAATGGGGGTTAACTCTTCTTTAAAAGTTTTGTAGAATTCAAAGGTGAAGGGAACCAGCAGTTAGCATAATGGCTATGTTGCTGGATTCTCACGTAGTCAACATCCCGGACCTGGTGGCTTAGAACTCACACCGGGTGTGTGTGCGTGCATGCCCAAGATCCCAAGAGGAGAATGGAGGAGAAGGGATTGCGGCGTGACCATCCCTCCTGGGGGGTGATTTCTCGCTTTCTGTCTCTACGTCTCTCTCTGTCTGCCTGGTGAGTGCACGCGCCCTATAGCGAAAACCTCTCAAAAAAAAAAAAAAAAAAAAAATTCAAAGGGGAAGTCATTAGGACCGTTTCTTTCTTGGGAGATTATTTATTACTGATTCAATCTCATTGCTTGTCATGAGTCTATTCAGGCTTTTTATGTCCTCCTGATTCACTCTTGGTAAGATAATATATGGCTGGAAATTTGTCCAACTCATCTAGGTTCTCTTGGTTGTTGGCATACAGTTGTATTAATAGTATCCTCTAATGATGTTTTGTATTTCTATTGTGTCTGTTGTAATATTACCTGTTCCACTGCAAATTTGATTAATCTGGTTCCTTTCTCTCTTCTTTTTAATCAGTCGAGCTAATGGTGTGTGAACCTTTTTAATCTTTTCAAACAATCAGTTTTGCTTTCATTTATTTCTGCATAGTTTGTTAGATTTCTATTTCATTTATTTCTGTTAAAATCTTTACTATTTCTTCATTTAAAAAAATTTGTTGTT